GTAGGCAGCGTTAGCTTCTTCCTCTTCTTTTTCTTCCTCTTCTTCTTCACCATTATCTTCTTCTTCTTCTTCTTCTTCTTCTTCTTCTTCTTCTTCTTCTTCTCTTCTTCTTCTTCTTCTTCTTCTTCTTCTTCTTCTTCTTCTTCTTCTTCTTTGATCCTTCTGCCTCAAAATTTATAGTTTTGTCTTCATTGTGGTTGGAACAGGCCAAATTGCGTCTTTGTTGTCAGCATACAGTTGACAGTGCTGGAGTACATGCTCAAAATTTTCGGGTGCCACGCTGCAGGGACACGTCTCCGTGTTTTCTACACCGAAAAAATTTGAACATATGTTGACGAAGTTTGTTGTACCCAGTCCTTAGTCTGAATATAATACACTGTCCCTCTCCAGAGAGGCTATGAAACGAGTCTTGGGGAGAAAATCTGATGTGGGTATCCAGCCACCTTTCTTGGATACTAGATTGTATTAATGTTTTCGTCTCTTGAAGGGTTAAATCACTATTTGGTTGTACCATGTCACTGCCGCTTCTGGCCAATCGGTCCGCTATTTCATTGCCTTCCAAGCCACAGTGACCTGGAATCCACTGCAGTACAGACTTGTTCTACTAAAGAGCCTAAGTGAATCAGCTGTTGCGTCAAGTCTACAAACTGAGTGTCTTTTGGATTAACAAATGCTTGTAGAACTGACATAGCATCAGTCAGAAAGGCCGCTCTGCTATATTTGCTGTGCCGTTGTCTATTCAGGAAAAAACATGCTCTCAGAAGTGCTTCTGCCTCTGCTCTGTAATTGGAGGTCGACCCAGCCTGAGTAGGTACCGCGTGCAGTCCCGGGAAATAAAGGCGGCCGGCGTGATGCTGACCACATCACCCATCTTGTGCCGATTGGTCTATAAAAATATAGGTCTAGCCCTATATGCCCTAAACGCCTAAAGGCGTGGAAAAGGGTCCTTTACTTTAATTTTTACTTACTTTTTAAAAATATCAGTTCCAATCAGTACCCGCAAAATATTTATGCACTGGGGATAAGTAGTTCTTTCCTTGCTTGAGCAAAAGAAAACGAACCCCCACGGACCCGCCCTTTCCGCTTCGAGCAGCCAATAAAATAGCTCGTTACTTGTTAATGTGTTTGCCGGGATAATGTATCTCCCCTTCTAATGGGCAGCAGGAAATAATCCCATAATTTTGTGTTTTATTGTTAGCTAATATAAAAATGTAGCTATATTTTTTTACATTATAAGGTTTTTCTATAGATATGTTTCTTTATACTTTGCAAAATTACAGATGAAATTATTCACTTTGCATGTCTAAAAATAACTATGCTCCAGAATACATCGAAAGTGCTAATACTGCTAATGTCTGAGAGTGAGATCATCCGAAGGAAATGTCCGAAGCAGTCAAAACATTGCACGTTCTAGTGCATCTCTGAGAAGTTTTACCGGCTGGATTTTGTACAACGCAACATCTATAAGGGTTTTTCATGGTGTAGAGACAGTGTGTATTATTTAAAAATGGGCAACTGCTTCGGGGGATCTCGTTCAGAGCCAGTTCCTACTAGCAGTACGTGCGAAACCTCTCCCTCTCACCGTGCAGCCGAGAATGGGGTAATCACCAAAACGGTTTTGGCTTCAGCTGCGAACGCTAGTAATTCGCAGGGAAGTTCTTCTCCGTTAAATCAGTCACCTCAACATAAAACCGACGGGACCGCTGAAGTAGCGACCCTGGGACCGTTGAAAGTATTTGTTGCGTTGTATGATTACGATGCCCGAACTGACGAAGATCTGTCTTTTAGGAAAGGGGAACATTTGGAGATCATCAACGATACCCAGGGAGATTGGTGGTATGCTCGCTCAAAGACCACCAAGAAGGAAGGATATATACCTTCTAATTATGTTGCCAAGCTGAAGAGTTTGGAGTCTGAAGCGTAAGTTTCTAGTTAAATAGTGGTTGTTTGTCAGTAGCATATTACATTACTTTACTACTATCATCATCAGTGGTTTTTATGCCTAGTGGCATATAAGGCTTCAGAGAGGACTTTCCATGCTTTCCTGTCCTGTGCAATCTTCAATGCAGTTTTCCGTGTCAGAGATACCGTACTGGGGTCACTTTCCATCGTCTGTCTCCGTGTTGTTTTTGGGTGCCCCCTTTTTTTTTTCTTTCCCTCTGGTATCCATGTGAGAGCTGTTTTGGCAGGTGTATTCTCATAATGAGGCCAAGCCATTTCCATCTTCTCTGGTTATTATACTGTCTAGATTTTCTTGGTTTGTGACTTAAAGTAGCTACTTTACTACTATACTAATCAGTTAATCACAGTTCCAACTTCATAGCTATCGAGTCACTTCCCTGTGCCAACGAAAACCACACAGAATGTTCCATGTGAAAAAAAAAAATTCACACAAACTGTAGCCTCAGTAAAACCAGTAGCATGCACACACATTAATGCATAAGGCAACCGTCAGATACGCCAGCACAAATAGTGAGACACTATAAATCAAGTTCATAATTGACGAAAGCAGCAGTTAAAACACATTAATAGTTGCACACCCAATTCTTTTTTTTTTTTCCTTTTCTCTTCTCCTGGAATGCCTCAGCCAATTAATCACATTAAATCACCAACAGTTTTCTGGCAGCATGTCATTGGCCATGTTCTAAATATGCAGTTAACAACACAAACCACATTGGGCACAGCTGAAAAGTATTCTAGAACAAATCTGCAGCTCACAGTGTTCTTTCTTTCTACATCTGGAGGAAAACTAAACAGCTAACTATTTTACAAAGAAATATCGTGCCATGATTAAAACAACAAACCCACCTATCCGCCATATTGACCGAAAGTGCTGACTATACTAATGACATAACGGTCAGTGACACTTCTGGGAGGTCAGTTTCACTTCTGGGAGGTCAGTTTCAACCCTTTTTAGTCTTAGATATGTGTTTCTTCAACTCCTTTCCTAAGCAGGTGAGATTGGTTTTAAAATCATGAAAAGGACATGCTTTGTCAAAGGATAGATTTGTCTGTCCTGTCGTATTTTTTATCTTAAACTTATACATTTCAACACACATACACTCACATAAACTACACATTTAATCACACAAACCAGTTTTTAAAAATTTTTTTTATAAAGATTCCTTTTTCACACTTTTGCTGCATCAGTCATATAGTGCAATACCTATATTTTTTATAGACCAATCAACACTTGATGGGTATTGTGGTCAGTATCACCCTGACTGCCAGGACATTACCTGGCTCCCATTTTAGGCTGGCTCAAGTTGGGAGCAAAGGTTATTTTTGAAGTATTTATGACATAGATGAGGGTCTTTTATCACAGACATCAGATGGGGAAACTCATAATTGTTTGACTATGCCATGAGAAGAGGGAAACTGGACATTGTTATGACCACTGGAAAGATTTGTGGAAAGAGAGGTAGAGGAAGATCATGCGAGAGGATTCTTGACAGTTTTTGTTGTTGTTGACCTTGTATGGAGGGATTAAGTGTTTTGTCCTCCCGAGGCTTGCAGTTTGCAAGATTAACACTTCTGGGATGAGAATCAAACCTAGGAACCCTGTTCAACCAAATAGCAGCTGTATTGGGGTCCTTGCAGTTACATGGTGACCTGAAGTCCAGGCCGGACAGGGATACTTGGAGTGTCAGGCCATGAGCTGATGAATGTTGTTATTGGAGATTGCAGGTTGTGGGAGAGGTATGATCGCCTGTGGCAGTCGGTGAGGCACTTGATGATGATGATAATGATGTATAATAGAACTGTCCTTGCAGAGCAGGTAGTCAAGTAATTTCAATTCCAACTTCATAGCAGATGGTTCCTCACCCTTCATCGTCGCTGTGTTCCTGTGGCAGTAAAAACCACACAGAATGTCCATCATTGACCCTTGTGGAAAAAAAAAAAACCAATCTTTACAGACTGCAGTCTAGCAAATCTAATAGCATACATGTGTATTCAATTTATAAGACAGCAGTCAGAAGTGCCAACAGAAACCATCTGCAACACTAGAAATGCAATTCATCGTCAGTGGAAGCAGATTAGTAGTTGCACACACAATTAATTGCATAAGGCTGCATCTAGACAAAGCATTACGGTCTGCTGTGTTAGTTATTTGATTAATATAAATTTCTGTAACCTATGGTGCCATTTCAATGGTTTGAGATGAATTATGTCCGTATTCCATAGTTGTGGATTTCAAGCTGTACGATAGACATGGCCAGTGAAGACATTCTTTTTTAAAGAATTGTTGCCTAGTTGGTCATGTTCTTAGTATGCACACACCATTTGGAGGTGATAGGTTCAGTTCCCCGCATGATAACTATAGCTTTAGATTTTTATGTTGTCTAATGTGGCCTTCTGTCTTTCTTTGAGTGCCAATCAATACATTGTCAGTTTGTATATTATATATATAATATTTCAACTACCTCAACAGTTCCCCCTCTGTTTATTTAAGTGAGTTGCAAAAATTCTCTGGTAACAGGCCACTCACCATTTTCTTAATCTACAGTTCACAACACAGACCACGTCTGGCACAGCCAACAAGGCTATCCTCTGAATAACAGGCACAAAAGATGGCGGCCAAAAACAGGGCCTCAGTCACGTGTCAATTGCGCACTTCTGGCGACCTAATTTGCGGTTTTCCTGCGACTACCGCCACCGCCAAGAGTATCCCACACGCCGCTCTTGCGGCGTGGATTGGGGCTAAACTAGATGGCTAGGACTCACGAGCAAAGCTGCAGGAGATGGGGAAGCTGCTGCTCGTAAGTCCCAGCCATTTATTTTAGCCCCAATTCACGCCGTGGTGGCGGTAGTCGCCGGAAGTGCGCAATTGACATGTGACTGAGGCTCTGTTAGGGTGTTTTTGCGGCCGCCATCTTTTGTGCCTGTTATTCGGAGGATAGCCGCCAACAGGTATTTCAGATGAACAGTCAACAAGTATTTCAGGTGAAATCCGCAGCTCACTGTGCATAGCAGTCTTATATGAGTTTTGATGTTTGCAGGTGGTATTTTGGAAAAATCAAAAGGGTTGAAGCTGAGAAGAAACTGCTGTCTCTGGAGAATGAGCATGGCGCATTTTTGATCAGAGACAGTGAAAGTCGCCGAAATGATTACTCATTATCAGGTTAGTTTTTTTTTTTTTTTAAATTGTAATTTAAAAACAAAACAATTGAAAGAGAATTATCTTGCTCCTTTGGGTTCTGGGGTCCCATTTATTGGGGAAAAAAGAATAGACTCTCTGTCCTTTAACAAGCATGTCATAAAAGGCAAGTAAATAATGGCTTGCTGATATTGGAGGTGTTAAGCTGAAAGGTGATGATAATCGCAGCGTAGCCATTGGGTTTTCAAGACCCTCCACCCCCATGCTAATTTAAGTAAACATATTCTTATCATGACTCATGAAGAGAACTGATTGCCCACATCAGAAAGAGACAATCTACATTCAGTGGTCATGTGATGAGAAGGAGAAAACTGGAGTACATCGTTACCGTACGAAAGTTGGAGGGGAGGAGAGGCAGTGAGAAACTGAGAGACAAGATGCTGGACAGTTTGACATCATGGTGCGGAGGATCATCTGTGTCAGAGTTGATTCACAGTAAGCATGACAGAAGGTTGTGGATTGACATGACTACCATTGCCACACAAAACAGACTTTATGAAGAAAACTATTCCTGTCCTAACCTCCTAAAGACAGCAGATGCAAAAAAAAAAAAAAAAAAATTTGAATTGGATTAGCCATGTATGTTGTAAACACATCACTGTAGAAATACCGGTTAAGCAACACTCGGGGGCTTGTGACTTACAGTGTGGTTAACGGCTTCATGAGGCGAAAGGGTTAAAGCATGCAGATATACACAGTCGTACTGTATCAGCATCCGTGGCTTAAGAATTGTGAACACAGTTTGACAATGCTGACATGCAAAGGTTCTAAGTCAGCTGCTACCGATGTGGTAGCAGACTGCTTGGCATCAATTTTGACATTTGTATGAGAGTTGTGCTGTTCAGAAGGCAGGGGCAAGCCACCGAACATAAAATTGCTTAGTAAAACCATGTGACAGGCAGTGAATCAGGGTTGGTTTGTAAAGTCATGAAAAGGATATGCTTTGTCATAGGATAGATTTTTATGCCCTGTAGTGTTTTCATAATGAAAGTATGAAGGTGAACACATATGCACTCACTTAAAGAAAAAAGGTAGTTTCTTTCCATGCCAATGGCGCATCAGGCATATGAGACCAGACTCATGTTTTTATAGACCAGTTTGCCCTTGGTTTGTGATGTGGTCAGCATCTCAGCAAGCTGCCTTTACTTCCAAGAACTTTACCTATAGATATAATATGTGATCGGAAGATGCATTGCATATCTTCCCACGTATCTAGGGGTTTTAATTTATAACTGTCAGTCCTCCATCCGTATACACAAGGTTCCCTCAGCTGACAAACCATGGCCACCCACTCTCATTGGCACGGCACATGCTGATGGTGATTTTAACTGGAATAAAGGAAAGCCCACCCAGTCAAGAGCACCAAAGCAAGCCGGTCACACGTAACAAGTTAACAACCACAATACTTCTGGCATATGTTACAGGTCCTGTCGTAACTACTAGCATTATCTATAAGTATTGTTATATACTACACCACGCCATCTTATAGTGTGATCAGTCTCTTTATTATGGGCGAACACATTGCACCTTAACTTCCCAAGACATTACATGATAGCCATTTAAGGCTGAGTCAAGCTGGGAGCAAAGGTTAATTTTGAACACTTGAATTTAGGGCCAGCAGACCAGTGTCTAGCCGCTGTGGTACACTCCCGCCCACACACTCACACACATACACTCACACATACGCACACACACACACACACACACACACACACACACACAGAGAGTTCAATGACTACTGTTCTGTTTTGCACAGTAAGAGATGGAGACACAGTGAAACACTACAGGATACGTCAGTTGGACGAAGGTGGCTTCTTTATAGCCAGGAGGATCACATTTAGAACTCTTGCTGATCTGGCTGAACACTACAGTGCTGATTCTGATGGCCTCTGTGTCAACCTGAGAAAACCTTGCTCACAGGTAAGTCCAGTCAAGGACCCGCTTTCATGTCTTTAGGCATATAGGGCTAGACCTCTATTTTTTCAGGCCATCAACACTTGGTGGGTGATGTGGTAAGCATCTTGTCGGCCGTGTTTACTTCCCAAGACTTTTTCCTGGTACCAATTTAAGGATGGGTTGACCTGGGAGCCAAAATCATTTTTTTTAAAAGTATGGCTCCATCAGGACCAGAAACTGTGACCTTGGATCTGCATCTAGCTGCTACACCAGAATGCCTTATTTTGATACTTCTGTTCATTTTTACTTACTGTGAGTTTCAGTGCAAAGAACAATTCTTGTTTTTCACACTTACATTCGTTAAATGTGAACAATTATGATTAACTATTTGTACCAACAGTGAGCTAAAATTCTGGTGTGGAACTGCTAGTATTGGTACAACTGGCAGATGCCTTATGCATTTTTACTTTGCACTTGCAAGCTTTAGGATTTTGCTTGAAATGAAAAGTTTTTTTTAAAAAACTAGTTTTTAATGGGGCAGTGAAGGACACTTTGCATGATTTCCATTCGCAGAATTATTGGAACCTCGACTAACGGTCAAAATAGATTTTAGTTGTTATATTATCTGTTATTTTAGTTGTTATATTGTCTCTTTAGCACAGTGGTTTTTAACCTTCCTAATGCCAGTGGTGACCCCCAACCATAAACTTATTTTTGTTGCTACTTCATAACTTCAGTGAATATGTGTTTTCCGATGGAAAGGGTCGTGCGACCCCCATAGGGGTCAAGACCAAGAAGTTGAGAAGCGAGTGTTTTGCATGTCCTTACTATCTCTTTATCCCCCTTTATTTCCTCTCTTTTTGGTCTGCTTCTGCTGCTGATGATTACTTGTGGTTTTATATCCCATGATCTTTCAGAAGCTTTAAAGGTTCCGACAGTTAACTTCTAATGTCTGTTGATGGAAGCTGCATTATAACCATTTCTACTTCTTCTTTGAACTTTCTGTCAGAAAAACGTCTGTGAGTAGACTTTGAGGACAACCATTATGCCATCCACAGTGAACCAGGAGATTACCTGATAGCCCTATAAGGCTGGGTCAAGCTGGGGCCAAGGTTTATTGTAAAACACTTGAAGACTGCCTTCACTGAGGTTGGAATGGGCCAGACCATTTTTTATTAGCAGCAGATTACATTTGGTAGTGTGGCTATTTTCTGGTGCCAAGTTACAGATACATGTCTCAGTGTTTCCTGTACAGAAAAATGCGATCAAACCTTGGCAAAGTCTGTTGTGCCCTGTCTTTAGACTTAATATGAAACATTGTCCCTCTCTAGAGAGGCGATGAAGCAAGTCCTGGGGAGAAAATTTAGTGTAGGTATCCAGTCACCTTTCTTGAATACTAGTTTTTATCAGTATCTTAGTCTCATGGTGGGTTAAGCCACAGTTTGATTGCATCACCTCACTGCCACTTCTGGCCAAAGTCTTGTCTACTGTTGACTTCCAAACCACAGTGACCTGGAATCCACTGCAGGACAGATTGTTCAGTTCTAGAGCAAATGTGAATGAGCTTTTGCAACAACTATTTGTCTGTTGGTTTAATAATTGCTTATAGAACTGGCTGAGCTTGAGTCGTAACTATTGATTGTATTATTATGTGTCCAGGTGGAGAAACCTCAGACAGTCGGCCTGTCTTACAACACAAAGGATCAGTGGGAAATCCCCAAGAGCTCACTCAAGCTGATTCGCAAGATTGGTCACGGCCAGTTTGGAGAAGTCTGGGAGGGCTTGTGGAATAACACCACTCCTGTGGCCATTAAGACATTGAAACCTGGTAGGAAACATTATTTTGTGCCAAAACAGAGGTTATGGTATTATCATCATCATCATCATCATGTTTTGAGATTTGAACAACAGATCAACATCATGGCACACGGGTAGTAACCCATAAGTACTACTTTCTTCTCCTAATTCAAGTCTGAGTCATGTCGCAGGTCCTTTGCAGCTTGTCACTCTAATCATGGTCGGCCTGAAAGAAATTCTTTCTCTCGCCAGCTATCCCACCTCCTTTGCTTTCATATTCAAGGAGTATATGGCATGGTACTGGACAAGAAGGGTAGAGAGTGACCAGTATGAAGGTGGGCACAGAGTATAAGTGACACTTGGGGTAGGAAAGTGGGGAGAGACTTATTCTTTTGCTGGTGTGGGTGGTAAAGCTTCTCCATGCCTTGATGTCTGCAACAGCATGTTCCTGTTTGTATGCTGACACCTTTCCATGCCATTACAAAAGGCTGTTGAAAATCTTCTCTCATTCTCTTTATCTGCCTTTCAATAAATCTTTTTAGTCGCATGTTCCAGATTTTCTCTACCAAGTATGGTGTCAAAAATTGCTTGTTTTCATAATTTATGGTAAGTTGTCATGATTACATCTCTTTCAGAACATTAGAATTACACGTTTTGGTTGTCCAGTCTAAGGCAGTGTCCTATATATAGTGATGCATGCACACATTCTTCATTTGTTATGTTTCTCTATTTATAGTGTTTTGTTCTATCTGGCACTGGTGGAAGAAACAATCTCTTGATGTCTGTAAGAGTTGAACATGCGAAAAGATTATATGGGATAGTCTTGTAAGGATATCTACAAAGCAGACATTTTTATGTCAGCTGTCATTATAGCCTGCAGATATTTTGGCCTCAAAAAAGATAGCTACGGGAATACTTGTACTGGGCAAAGGAGATATTTTGGCCCCAAAAAGATAGCTACAGGAATACTTGTACTGGGCAAAGGAGATATTTTGGCCCCAAAAAAAAGATAGCTACGGGAATACTTGTACTGGGCAAAGGAGATATTTTGCCCCCAAAAAAGATAGCTACGGAAATACTTGTACTGGGCAAAGGAGATATTTTGGCCCCAAAAAAGATAGCTACGACAATACTTGTACTGGGCAAAGGAGATATTTTGGCCCCAAAAAAGATAGCTACGGGAATACTTGTACTGGGCAAAGGAGATATTTTTGGCCCCCAAAAAAGATAGCCCTAGGAATACTTGTACTGGGCAAAGGAGATATTTTGGCCCCAAAAAAAAGATAGCTACGGGAATACTTGTACTGGGCAAAGGAGATATTTTGGCCCCAAAAAAGATAGCTACGGGAATACTTGTACTGGGCAAAGGAGATATTTTGGCCCCAAAAAAGATAGCTACGGCAATACTTGTACTGGGCAAAGGAGATATTTTGGCCCCAAAAAAAGATAGCTACGGGAATACTTGTACTGGGCAAAGGAGATATTTTGGCCCCAAAAAAGATAGCCCTGGGAATACTTGTACTGGGCAAAGGAGATATTTTGGCCCCAAAAAAGATAGCTACGGGAATACTTGTACTGGGCAAAGGAGATATTTTGGCCCCAAAAAGATAGCTACATGAATACTTGTACTGGGCAAAGGAGATATTTTGGCCCCAAAAAAGATAGCTACATGAATACTTGTACTGAGCAAAGGAGATATTTTGGCCCCAAAAAAGATAGCTACGGGAATACTTGTACTGGGCAAAGGAGATATTTTGGCCCCCCAAAAAATAGCTACATGAATACTTGTACTGGGCAAAGGAGATATTTTGGCCCCAAAAAAGATAGCTACATGAATACTTGTGCTGGGCAAAGGAGATATTTTGAGGACTGTTAATGAATGAATGCTGATAGAAGATATAAATGTTAAATTTAGAATCAACATCACAGACACTCCCATAAGCGCTCGGTTCGCATCTTCAGCAGCAAGCGAAGAGTTCAGATTCCGATGGCACCACTGTCTGATTGTATATCCATCTCGCCTTTGCCTTGAGTGTTGAGGGTCGGCCAGAGACCCTGGTAACTCCTCAAAGCGCCATTCTCCTCAGATCGTAATCTGTCTGTGCCTCCACACTGTTCACTCGCTCCCAAAGGGCTTTTACAACGTCTAGCTTGTCATACATCAATAGATAAAGATACAAGTTTAGATGAGATAATATTTTGTGTAAGAATGTGTGAATGAAGAATTAGGAGTGGATCCAGCAAGGAGGGACATTAAAAATTCAGATAACAAAATGTGCTACGGGAATATTTAGCATCTACACCCTAAAATGTTTACTGTGGGAGACGGAGCATCTATGGGTATGCCTCATGTGCTGTGATGTTGATAATTTTGTCAGTAATTAGTAAAGTCTGCTTAACATTATACAGTGTTCAGAATCATGCTGAGTCATAATATTGTCTTCTTCTTTGTCTCTGTGTGAGACAAGGGCAACAAGCAAACTAGGTGGCGCCAGAAATGTGGTTTCAGAGAGAGGGAAAAAAAAAAAGTAAAAAAAAATTGTGTTCTGTCAGAGAAACAGATTAGGAAGTCTGAGGAAAATGACAACTGTTAACAGATCAGAGAAATTAGACATTGTCAAGATTGTTTGGATTTGTTTTGAGAAAGAATAAACTAGATAACTTGGTGACAACAGGCAAATTTGATAGGTAAAGAGTAAGAGTATACCTATATGGCTTGGGTTGGAAAAGAACATTGACGTGATCCATGATTCTAGTGATTGTTTAAGATAGCAGACATGATTGTTTAAGATAGCAGACCATAACTGTCTGTTTATTGGCGTGTCACATGATGATGATTTCTTTCTAGCCTTTATTTTTGCAAGTCACTTCTGGAAATCTGTGTTTTGCTATGGATTGGAATTTTCTATAACAAATCATTACGAAACATTTAGCCTTTAGTTTATGTTAGCAAACATGCTTGAAAGTTCTCACATAAAATCACCATCTTCAAGTGCCTTACCGACCGGCAATCTTCAATCATGCCTTTCCACAATCTGCAATCTTAATCAGCATGTTTCAGTTTATTTGCAGACACCCCTGCATGCCATGACAAAAGGTTGTCAGGAATCTTCTTGCATTGTCTTCCTCTGTCTCTTTTTTCTACAGGTCTTTCCAATGGTCACAACCTTCTCTGGTTTCCTTCTTCTAATAGCACGACCACAAAAATGATGACTGTCTCTTTTGATGTTTGTAGTAAGTTGTCTTCGAACTCTCGCCACTTTCTAAACATTTGGGTTGCTCTTTTTGGCTGGCTGTCCAAGGATTTCTAACAATTTTTCTGTTAACCACATCTCCGATTTTGTATTAATTGTCCAATATCCACATCCATTCACACAAAACAGGCTAGTTTTAGAAAAGGGGATTACAATTTTTTTGTCTTGAATGTGGGCACTGAAAATGGATTAATAAAAGTTTGAAGAAGAGAGCACAAGACACCTTAATGTCTTTCCAATTTGTTGTATAGGCACCATGGACCCCAAGGACTTTCTGGCTGAGGCTCAGATCATGAAGAAGTTGAGGCACCCTAAGTTGATCCAGTTGTATGCTGTCTGTACGCATGATGAACCAATTTACATCATTACTGAGCTTATGAAGAATGGCAGTTTGCTGGAGTTCTTGCAAGGTAAGGAAGCTCAGTCTGGGAGGTGGGGCTGTTAGCAGGAATGTCATCATAGTGCAGGGCACTCACTTGCCCTGGCAGTCTGAAAGGTTGTCAAAGGCTGGGGACAGTCTAAAGCCATGTGGTTATGAAGAGAAAAGGAAAATACCACATTTTTATCCCAGGAAGCCTAACATTATGGCCATATAAGATGCCACTGCAGTTTGGAAAGAATAATAGCAGAAGGCATGGTACGGGAGCCAACCAGCACGAAGCTGGGCATAGGAAATAAGAGACATCACAGGTAAGAAAGTGCCCATCTCTGTGTACAGCTGGTTATCAAGCCAGCCGAAAACTGAAGTGACTGCCTCCACCTCTCAAACTAGATGTTATGGTGTCATAGGCCAGGCTTTGTTGCACTAAGCAATGTCCATTCGCTTTTGCTATGAACTCCCATGTAAGGAGATCACTTTTTGAAATCCTTATGTGTCAACCACATGAAGAGAATATAGAGACATAAATGTTGATGTAAACTCTGAAGTCTTCTTCTTCTTCGAGTTCACCAGCTGTAACTCTGGCGGAAAGTTCTGGTTGTTCATCCACTTCTGGACTGCAGTCCTGTTCCAGAACCTGGGTGTTGCTTGTGCATCCATTTTACAAATCTGACTCATTTGTATGCAGACTGCTGGTTCCTTGCCTCTCAGGCAGATGCACTCCGACTTCGAAGGAAGATCCCCAATTAGTCGACTCTTACAACATGCTTTTGGGCGGTCAGTGGATCAGTTCTTGTTTTCCCTATAATAGGGCCTCGAAACCCACACAGGGGAACTCTGAAGTAATGCAAGTGATGAGATGCATTAAAATATTCCTGGCAGTAAATTGGGTAGTGTTTTGTTTGCCTGAGAGAAGTGCTTGAGCAACCACTTGTATCAGCAGTTATAAGACAGAGAAGATGACAGTATATTGGACACATTCTGAGAAGAGACAAACAGAGAATCACCAGACAGGCAAGTAAATGGGAAATCAAGGGGTCGAGGAAACAAGGACGTCCAGGAGAAACCCTTAGGTGAGAGAGGCCAAAGATGCCGGACTGGATTCTATCCATGACATCAGTGATTGCACAGGATAAAATGGAATGAGAGAATACACTGCAAGCCGTATGTGACATATAATGGCACGACAGGGTAGTGAATGAATACGTTGTTTGCTGTCTCATTATTTACATTAACAGTGGGACAAAATTGCTTCGAATGTGTCGTTTGTCAGTTTTTGTAACTGACTTCATGGTTTTGTATTCTAGGCAAAGGTAGAATTCTGAAACTGCCTCAACTAATAGATGTCGGAGCCCAGATTGCTTTTGGAATGGCCTATCTGGAGTCGCAAAACTACATTCATAGAGATTTGGCTGCCAGGAACATCCTTGTTGGTGACAATAACAGCGTCAAGATAGCTGATTTTGGTCTTGCCAGGGTCATCAAGGTAACAGCAGCTTGACTTATTTGCTTCTGCTTCAGCATACAATTTCTAACACGCACAGATTGACTGCGTTAGCCGTGCGCCTTAAAGTCTCAGTCTCATGATTGCCTCTTTCCTACATCTTCAAGTGTTAAATACAGGCAATACGAACGGGTCGCCTATTGGCTGGCTGGTAGACGACTTTGTCATCGGACGGGACAGTGTTTGGGTCTTTCTCCTGTTAACGCATTGAAACTTCAAGAGTTTTTTTAGAGCTAATTGGTGGCGTGAAAAGCTTATAGCTATTTTATATGGCACCAATTAGCTCTGAAAAAAACCGGCCAGCCAATAGGCAACCTAGTCCCAATTATAACCTAAAATGGGAACTGCGTGGTCTTGAGTCATGGTGCCTGCCTTGAGTGCTGGAGGTCCCGGGTTCAATCCCCAGTAAAAGCTGGGATCTTTTCACGTGGACTTGGACCTCTATTAATTCCAACTGATCTCTAGGTAGTGAGATCAGACGCCCGTGTGCAGTGTTGCGCACCAAAAAAAATCCCTTGCCAGTTGGAAATCGAAATGAGTAGCTTAACGGCGCTGCCCGAACAAAATTTAGAGTTAAAAATCGACACAAAGTATTTCAGGATCCTCGCCTGTGTTACAGAGCCTGCGCACTGTGCTGAGCTTCTTCGGACTTGAGTTAGAAGAACAATGGAGCACTTATGTGTTACTACCCGTGTGCCATGATGTTGATCCGTTGTTCAGAACCTCAATAACCTAAAGCTGCCCCTTTGGGGATGCTGGTTGAAAGTGACGATTTCTTTTTTGGAGCAAAGCAACAGAACAGGCAATAAAGACAGTGTTGTTTTCCAGTGTTTAGACATCCAGTTCCCCGTGTGGGTTCCAGGTTCTCATTATGGGGGGAAAAAGAATTGACCCACTGCTTTCTTTCTTGTACCATATTCTCGATGCTCCTAAAGGCGTCAAAAGGGATCTTTACTTTTACTTTCTTTCTTTCTTTCTTTTTTGACAAGTATGTCATACAAAGCGACTAATCAAGGTGTTTCCTTCGAGCATCTGCCTGAGTGCCGAGAAACCAACAGTCTGCATACAGATGAACAAGATCTGTAAAATGGATGTACATACAAACTCAATTTCTGGAACAAGACCATTCCGGAAGAAGGAAAACAGCCGGAACTTTCCACCAGAATTTACAGCCAGTGAATGCAAAGAAGAAAGAAGAAGACAATCAATGTGGACACAATTGTTGCCTGTTTGTTAGTTGTTGTTTTGTTTTTTAACATTTTTTTAAAGCATATCAGATTAGCCTAAATAATTGTTATATGGTGACTAGAACCTTGACCCCATCGCTTTATGTCCACTGAGAGCAAATTATGACATTGTGATAGCCAATGGGCCATTTTTTTCTCAGGGAGATCTTCTCAAATGCTGTTTTCTGTAAAGCATACTTTGGTCCTCCTAAACACTGCACAGGTGCAAACAGAACCAGTGACTTGTAGGTTCTGGCCAGTGACTTGTAGGGTCTGGCCAGTGACTTGTCGAGTCTGGCCAGTGCCTTGTCAGGACTGTCCAGTGCAACAGAATTAAATTATAGGCTTCATGAGGAATTGTAGCATCAGGTGAATTGATTTATAAGCCTTTTAGGGAGAATGGATTTTCTAACACAGTTTGTCTCCGAAAATACAGGAGGATGAGTACGAAGCAAGAGTTGGGGCTCGTTTCCCAATCAAATGGACAGCCCCTGAGGCAGCAAACTTTAACAGGTTCACCATCAAGTCTGACGTCTGGTCATTTGGTATCCTGCTGACTGAGATTGTCACATATGGGCGAGTTCCTTATCCAGGTGAGTGTGGTGTGTTGTTGGGTAAATTCACATGGCAGATATAGATAATCAATTCCAATCGAAAGAAAGAAGAAGAAGAAGAAAAAGAGCAAACAGTATTCAATCTAAAGTCTTAACCAGCAAAAAATAAATAACGGGAAATAAAAAAAATTTAGAAGCGTGTGGGAACATGCAAGTAACACATTTCCATTGCAAGTCAGAAGGGACACGGACAAAGGAAATATAATATTGGCGTAAACAAAAACCCAAAGAAATCTGGTGGCCCCCTTTTTTTAAAAGTCCGTGGTTCACTCTGTTGAATACTTTGATTGGATATTTCATTGACTGTTACATCAGAAAAAAGATGCAGTCATTACATAATTAAAATATTGTGTTGATATTATGTTAAACATTTGACAATTTTAAAATTGAAATCAGTCGCACAGTTCAAATAAAGATCAACAGTTGAGATGGTTCTTCAATCTGATAAGTATGACTGACACCAGCTGTCACAGAGAGTCACACTGAAGAAATATAATGAATCAGAACAAGGAGAAACTTGTGTAAAAGATGGAGCGAAGACTTTAAGAACAGCCTTAAATGATCACCTTAAAAAAGACCATAGAGAGAAAGAGATAGCAAATAGAAGATCCGTTCTTGATTTTATAAAATGCAGTTTTTAACCCGACCATTTTTGTTCTTTCTCTGTGAAACATCTTCTATCTGATGTTATTTATGTGCCAACATAATTCAATATCCCAGTGTTAGATGCAATTTTGTTGTTGTTTTAAAGCCCCACCCTGGCTGTTATAACCCATCCTATGAGTTGAACAGTTTCTGGGACCTGCCCCTGTGTGATCCTCATCCGATTGGTGGCACTTTGTGTCATCAGATGTTTATCGCTCTGTGTGATGTCCTGGTGGGGTTGAACATCATCATCATTTATGTGCCTAGATACTTTAACCTCTGTACGTGTCCCCCCAAAAAATGCTGTAGGCTTATTTCAACTGAAAGTAAAATTGTATTCTCTCTCTGTCTTGTGTCAAACAGGGATGACTAATGCTGAAGTGCTGCACCAGGTGGAACATGGCTATCGCATGCCCTGCCCACAAGGCTGTCCCAAAGCACTGTATGAAATCATGCTGGACTGTTGGCGCAAGGAGGAGATTGAGCGGCCAACTTTTGAAACCCTGCAGTGGAAGCTGGAAGAGTTCTTCTCCATGGATCCCAAAGAATATAGAGAGGCTTCCTTTATAAGATAGACCCCCCCCCCCCCCCCCCCCCCTTGTTTCATTGGTCAAGGAAAGGGAATATCTTGTATTTATTGTCTGATTAAAAGACATAACACAACATCAAAACTGTACTGGAGGGGGAAAAGTGGAAAGCTGGCAAGCAAGAGGTAGTTGGCGATACAAGTGGGAGGACAACATCAAGAGATGTACAAACAGCAGACTGTGGGACAAGACAGATTGTTCGATACCCCTTGCAGCCAGTCTTCATTTTAGGGACAGCACCTTATTGATGAACTGACTGTCCAGTATCTTGTTATAACAATGCTCATTATAAGTTGGTAGAGGGCTTATACTCCATTGGGAGGTGAAAGAAAGACTGAAGAAGAAGGCTCATGTTTGTATTTGTATTTTATATTGAAGCTACTGAATTTCACAAGCTGACTTTGCATTTTGTTATTGCCATCATCGTAATTTGTTTTATTTGAATTAATGTCATGATATATGTAACAGTTCGTTTTGTTTTTGTGGGGATGTACAGGTAGTAACAGTTACTTTATAATACAGAAGTGTTCACCTTTGTTATTTCCTAAGGACAATATTTTTGAAAGAAAGGAGACACATTTGTATTTTTTTGTTATTGATCTTACTGATTTTTTTAGACTGATCTTGAATTTTGTGTAATTTTGACCCTCGTCATAATTTGTTTCATTTGATTGTGTCATAATATACGTAACACAGTTTATTTTGTGGGGATATAGTAACAGTTACTTTGTAATATACAAATGTTTGGTTTTGATATTTCCTGAGCACAATATTTTTTGAAAGAAAGAAAGACGAAGACTCACATTTGTATTTTATATTGAATCTGACTTTTGTAGACTGGCCTTGAATTTTGTGTAATATTGACCCTCATCATAATTTGTTTTATTTGATTGTGTCATGATATATGTAACTTAGTTTATGTTGTGGGGATTTAGTAACAGTTACTTTGTAATATAAAAATGTTTGGTTTTGATATTTCAAAAAGGACAATATTTTTACAGCTGATTTTTTTGTAATAGATTGTTTATGTCCTTTATGAACTTGCAGCATTTGTTTATTTTGTGTGTGTAAATAATTGATGTTAGTTCTGTCTTTTGATATCTGTAATTTGTGTATGATAAATGCTTTAAAATGTAAAGCATTATTTGTGTGTATGCCATTTAGAATGGCTAGTGCTTCTGTAGAGAGCTGAGTTCAGTTACTGAGGGAAAGAAAGGAATGTACAAAGAAACAGATATCTTGCTTCTGTTCCCCCATGTGGGTTCCGGGGCTCTATTTGCGAGGGGAGAGTAGACCCAACCTTTCCCCCACACACACACAACAAGCATGTAATAAGAGTAAACTAATTAGGGGTGTTAAATCCTAAGTCGGAGTGCATCTGCCTGAGAGCCGAGGAACTAGCAGCTGGCATTCAAATAAGTGAGGTATGAAAAAATATGTGGACGTGAAACTGAAGTTCTGGAGCAAGACAAAAGTCCAGAAGTGGATGAACAACCAGAACTTGCCACTGGAGCTTATAGTCTGGTGAACCAGAAGAAGTTGCTTCTGTCCAGTTTTATTTCTGATGCTGTGTTTCTTCTTCTATTCTTTGCCTTAACCTCTAAACTCCGGCAGAAACTTCTTTGTGTAGCTCGTAATATCAGAGTGACTGTGGAGCCACTTATGAAACACCCTGTATGTATATTTTCAGAAGTGAGAAAGAGTTGTCCAGAGCTGTACTGGGTAAGCTGCGGTGTGCAGAAAGAAATTCTTCTTCTTCTGCCTTTCTATCCACCAATGGAGCATATGCCCTCAACCAACTCACACCAAGTCATTCTATCCTTCGCCATTGCATAGAGCTCTCCCCATGTCCTCCCCATCTTTTTAACTTCATTCTCCAGCTCTCTTCTCTTGAAGAGCCTCCCTTCATCTTGGTTGGCTGGATTTTACTTGCTTCTCTTTTTGACTTATCCATGGTTGGTTGGTTGGTTTTTGTGGCTATGGTTTTTACAGGATGAGGTAGCCAGCCTCAAGCCCAACCCTACCCTTAGTCGCCTCTTACGACATGCCTGGTAGGGTGCAGTGTCACTATTGGTTGCTTCTCGTGAGGGCCCCGGTGACACACGGGCGAGAAAGAAATTATTGGCAGCAAATTAGATTAAAAAATTCCCCTTGTGGGTTTTAGGGTCACATTTCGGGGAATAGAAAAGGAATAGACTCAATGCCCCACTAACAAGCGTGCCATTAAAGTCAACTAATTATAATTTTGCTGAAATTTGTTTGTGCCCATTTTAGGCGGGGGTCAGCCTGGGAGCCAAGGTTAGTTTTGAAGGGGAAAAACTGACCTTAGTGTAGATTTGAATTCTAGATTTTTAGACCAGGCGAGCGTCTAGCCACTACACCACAGCAGCTTCCCCCATGAAAGATCATTAAATATATACAAAATATAAATAATCTCTAGCGCCCCTTTCCCCCCCCCCCCCCCCTTTTCCACCCCCACTTTTTTTTGTAACCTGATGTTATTTTTAGAACATTTATACAGCCCTAGCACTGCTTCTTGTCATCTTTTGTACTGCCACGCCTGTTGGTACAAAACAGATATTGACACATGAAATAACTTTAGTTTAGTGTGTTACAATTCTTTGCTTGGGCAAATGACAGCTCCGACCAGAGGGGGGGGGGGGGGGGGGGGGGGGTTGGTAGCATTTAAAAATCCTGCCTCAAGAAACTGTCTTGGTTGTACTCCCTGGGACATGCCGAGGTGAAAGGAAATGAAAGAGCCGAGAGACTGGCGGGGTCTGCAGGGGTTGCTGGGGGGAAGAAGTAAAGACAGGGCAAACGTACTGAATGTGCTGCTTTCTAGAGACTCGAGAAAAGAGTCCACAACACCAAACCTTCTGTTAGAAAATAGGTATTAATGAGGAAAAGCATGCAGAAACCCTTATGGTTATGTTATTACAGTGGAAACATTTGCTTTGCTAATAGCATGTGACAGCTGATATACAAATAAGATAACTGTCGGGTAGTCTCAATGTTGGACACAAAATTTAGTTATTCTAAAGCGCCAGCCCGGCTGTAGTTGAGTACCCTAACTAATATAACCTAATGGTTGAATGAGTTTCTGGGACTTGTGCATGGGTGATCCTCATCCAAATGGTAGCAGTTTCTTACACCGGGTGTTGGTCGCTCGTTGTATGATCCTGGTGGGGTTAAATAACATACATACATCAGATAACTGCTTTCCTTAGTATGGCTTCTCTTAGCATAAGTGCAATAATCAGTTTAAGCTAACAGTTTTAGAACTTTACATGTATACCTGTGTTGTTTGGTAATTTTCTTGAAATGTATCAACAAATGGTTTTCTTAATGTTTTATATTTACCTAATACACAGGCCAAATGTTTACTTTTAATTTGTTCTCTACCGGGAAGGCTAACCCGGTCAACAAATACCAGCAGAAGTCGGATGTGTTGGCCGAAAGGTGCAAATATCGCAGCCATGCTGTAAACGGACAGAACGCAATTACGTCTTTGGATGAACGCAGAAGAAGAAGAAGAATTTGTTCTCTTTTACTAGAGTTCATACCTTTCAGTGTAAATATACACCTTTCATCCAATTATGTTTAAGTCTGCACAAGACAGGCAGTAAAATCAGTTGACTAATATTATAGGGCATCATCTTTCTGTTTGCCTGTCGTCCTTAACTTTGACATGCAGTTGAGAGTTTCAGTTAGTTTAGTGTATGAGGCCACGGTGGCTATCCTGACACTTAGTTGCCTGTCCTTTATAGGACATCATGGAACCAACCCCAGCATTTTTTTGGGGCCTATTTGTGAATTCACAAGGCATTTTTATATTCAGTAGTTTGCCATTGCTTTAGAATGGCCGGCTGTCGTTACTACTGTTAAAAGCAAGACCTGGCGGTCTGCTGCCAGATCACCTGCAGCTGGAATTGAAACTGGCACCTTGGAATTACACAGCATGTTCGCAGCACAGAAGCCATGGAAATTAAAAATAGTTTGACATTTCCTACCTGTACCTGCTGGCAGGAGGGGTTGTTAGCTACACACATAATTCAGACAGTTTTGTGGTCTTCCTCACCATCTTCTTTTCCCCTTTTTATTGAGAAGTTTTGAGCTTGTCTTGAGTTGTTTGGGAGATGAACAGCAAAGGAAAGAACTTTGAATACACAGAATAGCAAACAAACACAGAACTGGTGTTGTCAACCACTGCACGCTGTGGGATTTGCCATGGAGGGGATTCAAGCACATGAGGCTGAATGGTTCAGTGTGCATTGAGGATGATCTGTCAGTTAATGACACTTTTCTTTATTTTATTCAGTGTTATTCCATTGACACCTACACTTTCTTCTTCTCCCCCACTCTTAAAGGGTTATTTGCATATTGCGTTGTGGTTTAAAGCTAGGCTGTGATATCTGCATCTTTTGGCTGAACACGTCTGATTTCAAGAAACACTTATTCACCTTTTATGACATGCTTGTCAAGGAACAGCAGATCTGTACTTATCTCCCCCCCCCCCCCCCCCCCCCCCCCCCCCCCCCCCCCCCCTCAACCATATGGGACCCTGGGATCTAGCTTATTATTTTTGCGTGAGTTTTCTAATAAACTTAATGAGGCCTGGTCATGAAAGATATAAGCTACCTTCTTCAGCAGTCAGTGTTTTGCTGTGTGTCTTTACATCATGGTATTAACAGGATCTAGTGCACTTGAGGTCTCTGCTGGTGCTTTACAGTTTGTTGTCAAGGTGCCACCTGTAGACCAAATTCCCACTCTCTGATTGGCAGCATCTGGACAGTCTTGTATCATGTGAAGGTTTGCTTTTGGTGCTCCACGTCAGTCTTGGAGAGAGTCAGCAAGATCCATACTCAGGGAAGGTGTGCTCTGAGTTTAAAGTGTCCAGTTCTGAGTCACCTCTACACCCCAAAGTTGAAGAGAAGCGACTAAGTAAGTAAGTTCTGAGTCTGAACATTCTG